ATCGAGGAAATACATGAAGGGATCTGCTCCAGCCACCAGGGCCCCCGAACCTTGGCCAGAAAAATCATCCTGCAGGGCTATTACTGGCCGACCATACAGCAGGATTGCTTCAACCACACGCGGAAGTGCGCAGTATGCCAGCAGTATGCACCTGTCCCTGGCCGCCCAGCGAGTTTCTACACCCCGATGACCATCGCGCTACCATTTGCTAGGTGGGGCGTAGACCTGCTGGGTCCTCTGCCAACGGCTGCTGGTGGAAGGAAGTTCGTCATTGTGGCGGTTGATTATTTCACGAAGTGGGTCGAGGCCGAACCATTGGCCTCCATCACTGAATTCCAGTGCCAGAAGTTCGTCTGGCAGAACATCATTTGCCGATTCGGGATCCCGGAGCAGATCATCACAGACAACGGTCGGCAGTTCGTCGGCAGAGGCTTTGAGGCATACTTGGCGAAGTGGGGCATCAGGCACTCTAAGGCCTCGGTGGCCTACCCGCAAGCCAACGGCCAAGTGGAGAACATGAACCGGACCATCATGGACGGGATCAAGAAGAAGTTGGAAGACTACACCTCCACCTGGCCGGAGCAGCTGAATTATGTTTTATGGACGTACAGGACGACGCCAAGAACGGCGACTGGGGAAACCCCTTTTGCCTTGGCTTACGGATTCCAAGCTAAGGTACCGACGGAGGTACTGGTACCTACCCATCGCACCAAGCACTTCCAGCCAGAGGACAACGAGATCAACCTACGAGCAGAGCTCCATTTCGTCGAGGAACGGAGGGACCTAGCGGCTCGTCGCATGGAAGAGTATCACAGGGCCACCCAGAGATACTTCAACAAGGCCGTGAAATTCCGCGAAATAGAGGCCGGGGACCTCGTACTCAGGAAAAGAGAGAAGAGCAAGCCGCTCGAAGGCGGCAAAATGGCGAAGAACTGGGAAGGACCTTACCGGGTCATCAGAAGATATAACCAGGGGACGTTCCTCCTCCACACCCTGGAGGGGAACCATACCGGGATGTGGAACGTAGAACACTTGAAGAAGTTCTATCAATAGTTAGGGGCTGTTGTCCTTGTATTATTCCCACTACCATGTAAAATGGCCGGACGTCGTCAATAATAAGGCCCCTGTTTTTTCATCAATTCTGTTCTTGCCAACGACCGTTAAGGAAGGGAATCTCGATGTAGATAAACCTGTTCATCCTTGCGATGTCGGCGGACACCGAGCGTCTCCTCGAAGTAGGGACGCCGGTGGGACCAGGGACCAAGGACGAACGAAGCACCAGGGAATCTCGATGTAGATAAACCTGTTCATCCTTGCGATGTCGGCGGACACCGAGCGTCTCCTCGAAGTAGGGACGCCGGTGGGACCAGGGACCAAGGACGAACGAAGCACCAGGGAATCTCGATGTAGATAAACCTGTTCATCCTTGCGATGTCGGCGGACACCGAGCGTCTCCTCGAAGTAGGGACGCCGGTGGGACCAGGGACCAAGGACGAACGAAGCACCAGGGAATCTCGATGCAGATAAACCTGTCCCTCATTGAGATGTCGGCGGATACCGGACGTCTCCTCGAAGTAGGAACGCCGGTAGGACCAGGGACCAATGACGAACGAAGAGTATGGATTGCCTCCACCAAAAAAAAAAAATGGGGAGAAGAGGAGAGGAGCTCCTATGTAGAAGGGAATCTTGCCCGGGTGTGCCAGATCTTCTCCAACCGCCGAAGACGAACGCCTCTCGGTGTAGAGGTTAGTAGAGACGCGGAGGGGGCTAGACGAACCAAGGGAGCCTGCCAAGATAAACCTGTTTATCCCACAAACGACCATGGATCGATGGACGTGGGGTAACAAAGTCGGGGACCCGTGAGGGTAGACCTGTTCGTCCCTGCGAGTCCTTGGGTACCGAACGCCCTCTTCGAAGCAAGAGACGTCGGTAAGGCTAAAAGGACCACGGACGAACGAAAAAAGGGGGGGATCTCGATGTAGATAAACCTGTTCATCCTTGCGATGTCGGCGGACACCGAACGTCTCCTCGAAGTAGGGACGCCGGTGGGATCAGGGACCAAGGACGAACGAAGACTAAAAGACTCCAAAAAAAAAAAAAAAAAAAAATGCCAGAAGAGCAAGGAGCAAAGAATGATTCTTTTTTATTCTTCGGCACTATTGGCCGGGAAATTACAAGACAATGAAAATAATGGGAAAAATTGTACAAGTACAAGGTCATGAACAGAGAATCACTTTCGATCGACGTTCGGAGCTGGAACTTTGGAAAGAGCCTGCTTGCATTCTTCACTAGCTTTGGCTTCCGCCTGCTCCTTCAGCAGCTCGAGGGCCCCCGCATGAGCGTCCGCCATCAGAACATCAAAGCCAGCCGCCTCCGGATCGAAAGGAGCCCCGAAATGACGCTCGAACGTGGGGAGATTCTCCGCTACGAGCCCAACCATGCCCTTGCGATAGGTATCATCGGCAAGATCATCAAGGAAACGCCGTCCGGTGGGGGTGGCCTGGAGCAATTTGACCCCATCCAGATAGGCGTCCGGGCAGGTGGCTAGAAATTCTCCGACGAGCCTCGGGAGAAACTTCATGGCCATAGTGTGGATGGCGCCAGTGTAAGCTTTGGATCTTTGGAACGCTATGGATCCAGACTCCTTGATCTTGGCGACATCGGCCTCGTATATAGGGACATGATTGTCCACGCCCGTACGGCGGAGCTCCACCTTGGCCTGCTCTACGGCCCACATCCGGCTGCGGAGATCCACAAGCTCGACCTCCTGCTTTTTAAGGAGCTCCTTCTGAGAGGCATTCTCCTGGACGAGCTTGTCGTAGGCATCGGCCTTCTCTTGAAGAGTTCCGGCCCTGCCTTTTGCATTCTTCAGGAGGGCGTCACATTCGGCCCGGATTCTGGCCATCTCCCTGCCCTGATGCTCAAAAGCCATCCGAGCCCTGTGGAAGTAGAGCCCGGCCTTATCCAGAGTGCTCTGACCACACTCCAGGAGATCTTCGGGTGCCTCCTGAGCAGCAAAATCCTGGGGGACCTTGAGATTCAGGCCGCACCAGATGGAGGACGCTGTCTGGCCGAAGAGCATCATAGACTCCTTGCGGGGGCCAACCCCAGAAAACTCGATCAGGCCAAGAGAAGACTCACTGGCTCCTGGGGGAGAGTTTGGACGGGCGTCGTCAGAACCTTTGGCGGTTGGGGTATCATCATCCCGGAGACGGCGGACGTCGGAATTCCTCGGAGGAGAGGCACGGAGATTGGTCCGCGAAGTGCGCTTCCGCTTGAGGGGACTTCCGGGCTCCCCATCGGAGTCATCGGCCACGATGATGGCCTTGGAGGAGGTGCCCTCAACACGTGGCCTCTTGGAGGCGCCGGCCCCCGAAGCGTCATCAGCTCGTGCCCTGGTCACCCGAGGTTCGACCTTGGGGACGAGCGGCTTCCCGGGCTTGTCATGCCCCTTGTGCTCACGGCCGGCGGCAGTCGAAGCAGCGTTGACTCGGCTCATCGTAGACGTGGAGGGGAAAATTCCTCGGGTGGAGAGAGGTTAAAACAATACAAGTACAAACGGACGCACCTAACCCAGCCCGAGCTTTAAAAGGCTCGGCCACCAGCAACCGGAGGTTCTGGATGCCAAGTCCGGCTATGCGCTTGGCATATCCGAGCTCCTCGTCCGTCATGGGCGGCGGGATCGTCTTCACCGGGTAAGCATTCCACCGGTCAGAGAATGGCATCGGTGAGCCTACTCCGGCCAGGAAGAAGCGCTCTTCCCAACCATCCGGATTCCCAGCATTGTTCGAGAATAGAACCATGGACGGACGGGCGATCAGGGTCAGATACCCCGTGCGTCCGAAGGGGGACAGCCGGAAGAAATGGTGCAGCAGGTCCACGGTGGGGGTCACACCGACGCTGTGGCATCTAATAATGAAGCCAGCGATTATCCGATAGGCGGCAGGGACGAACTGCGCAGGCACTATCTCAAGGGCCCTGAAGAGCTCTAAGTGGAAGCTATGTAAGGGAAAGTTCAGCCCGGCTATCACCGAATCCAAGTGGACCACCACATAGCCGGGCAGATGGCGCATGGGGTTGCGCAGACGCCGATCGTCTTAGGTCCTTGGAGGGTAGAACCATTGGCTGATCAGACGCTTGTCAGCATTCGTCAGGCGTTGGACTTGACGCCGAACGTACGAAAAGCTGAGGCTATAACGGGGAGGCCAGGGCGGCATTCCCCGCTCATAATATTCCAAGTCATCACCAGAAGAACAACCATCGTCGAGGCGATTTTCGGAGGACATGGCAACGAACGGTACCTTTTGCTTGGGCACTGGGGATAAATCCGGCTCGTAGAAGTTGCTAGAGAGAGAATATATTTCCGCAGCGTATGGACTAAATGAATCGACGATGACTGATCTCGTGGTATTTGGGCACTTATAAGCGAAATGCCGCAGATTGACACCAACCGCAGGCTGGCACGTGTCCAAATAACACCGGCATAGCAATAACTTTGGAAGGCACCTCGAGCCCCGCGATTTTGGGGAAGCCAAGAGGCCGCCGACGGATCTTAGAATTCGGGTCTGACGACGAACGTCGACCATAGAACCCGGGATCCCCACAAACTGGGAGGGCAACACCAGACGAACATCGTCGGACACAGTGCCGCCGTCCTTCAAGGCAACTCGTACAAATAGCGACGCCTTGTTAGTCTTGTGAATCGGCTATCTAAGGTGGCGAGGGCAGGATTAGCTCGAGAGCATACGGCCGAAGGGGCCGGGTGCCCAAGGTGCGAGAGGCCTGGCTAGGCAACGGGCGTCTAAGCCAGGAGATGACGACGCCCGGCGGCAAAAACTACGAGTACGCTACGCGTTAGCTGGCTACGTACGGCGGGAGTACATTGAAAGAATAAGGTACGAATACAGCAACACGGCATAAAGACGAACTTTGGCAAAACATGGATTTTTATTCTTCAGCACTATCGGCTGGAAAGTACAAGTCTACACGCTACAGTCGGGAGGAAGGCTAGACTAAAATATAAATCAGCACATATGGGGGGACGATGGCCGGCTCCCGGCATGAGTGTGCTCTTCCACCTGAGGCTCGGGCTCAGGGGTTGGGGGTTCCGGGATATCCCCCATGGCTATGGCCGCCGCTCGGCGCCTATCCCGCCTTATTTTCCCCAGGGCTTCGATCAGCAGGTCCTCTTCCGTATGATCGGCCGGGTTGACGTCAGGGCCCAGAAGCTTCTCAAAGATGGGGAGAAAGGCTTTGACCCCTTCGTTATAGCCACCGGCGAAGGCGCTATCAGCAGAATAAAAAAGGAATTGGCGCGATAAGGGGGAGCTTCCCATTAGCCGTACGCCGTATTTCAGACGATCCTTCGCCGGGACCTTCTCCAGGGCATGAGAGAACACGTCTCCAAAGGCCCCAGCGCAGAAATCCTTGGCCGAGTCCATGAACTCGCCAGTATTCCGGTAGCCGGAGGTATCGACGCATCATTCCGGGATAGCACCTTTGGGGGCCGGAAGCACCGGCATAAGCTTGAAGCCGGCCTTCTCCAGACAGGCCAGTTGGGCGCCAGTTTCAGCCCGAAGGGACCGAAGCTCCTCCCTGGCTGAGGCAGCCTCTTCTTCTGCCCGACGGGCGACCTCCCGAGCCTTCAATATGGCGGCATCAGCCTTGCTCCTCGCCTCCTGCAGGGCGGCCTCCCTGGCAGGCTGGCAGCCTCGGCTTGCAGCACCAACAGCCCTGACTGTAAGGAATGGGATGAACAGAAGTTAGATGACGAAACGACGGGCGTCAGGGAGACAAGATGAGTCGAATCGCGACAATACCTGGATGGCCGCTGCCAGAGCGGCGCTGGTCGCTTCAGAAGACGACCGGGGGGGCCAGTTCGAGGCCGGCCTTGGCCCCAAGCTCCCTCCAAAGCTCTTCCGCCGGCCGGCTCAGGGAGAGACCGTTGGCATCTTCAACAACGGGGGCCGGAGGAAGAGCAGTCTCGCCCCCTCTTCGGCTTCTTCTCTGGGGCCCTCTCGCCCCCCTTCTTGGGAACCACCTTCGTTGTGACGACCGGCGGGGGGGAGAGCAGATTCAGCATGATGGGGTATGGCCCCCTCATTCAGGAGGGTGGCAATCAGATGCTGCTCACCATCTGCAGTCCGACGGGCGGCGTCAGAGGCAGACGATCCGGCACCATGGGCGGCGGCCTCCCTGGCCGCTTTGGCCGCAGCCATCTTCGCCTTCCTGTTCCTCAGGCACTCGGCGTTGTCCATTTGGTCGGCGGTAAGAGGAAGACCTGCAAGAGAGAAATACAAGAATGTGAAAAGACGAACAGGGATAGGGAGGAACACCCACCTCAGAGGACAGGACCGCCCGTGCCCCGAGACGAGCGTCCAAGGGGGGGAGGAATCTAGGAACACGGGCGGTACCTATGCCTGCTTCAGAGAGTGCCTCGGGGGTCAGGTATTCTCCTATGGGGCGAATGCCGCCTTCCAGGACTTTGTTAACTTCCGCCTCTAGCTCGTCCGTCAGCACCGGCGACTCAATCTTCGGGGGGTAACCGTTCCAGCGGATTGGGAGGGGAGGACCATCATATCTAAGGTAGAAGAGCCTATTTTTCCAATCATGGATGGAGGAAGGATAGTGCTCGAACAGCTTCCTCTTCGGACGAGCGGCCACACTCAGATAACCGTCGGAATTCTGCGGGGTGACCCGGTAAAAGTAGTGAAACAGATCCAGGGATATATCGGCTTCCGCGGACGAGCAGCGCACGAGGAATGCGGAGATAAACCTATAAGAGTTGGGCATGAACTGCGCCGGGACCCGCCTGGTAGCAGTTGAAGAACTCCACGTAAAAAGGGTGGAGGGGAAACCGCAGACCGGCCTCTACGGAGTCCACATGCAGGATGATCATCCCCGCCCGTCGCCGCATGGCATGTTCGGCCCCGCTATGGCTAAAGACGAACGGATGGGGGAAGAAGGAAGCAATCTTGTTCATGGCGACGCTAGAGAGGGATTGTCTGTGCTCTAAAACACTCTTAATCTTGCAGATGTGCCTCTGCACGTCCATGGGGATACCTAAATCGTGCACCTCCAGATCAGAGCCAGATTGAGCCTCATCTGCGGAATCATACCCGGCCGCACGTTCATTCAGAGGCACTGCCTCAATGGCACCTTCGGAAATGTCGGCGCCTTGCTCACCGTCGACATGGATGGTCCCTACGGTGGACGCCGAACCTGGGTTGCCGGAAATACTGGTTTTTTCCGGAGGAACGGGAGCCAGAATTGGAGGAAGAATCAGAGCCGGAGCCCGAAGAACCAGAACTCGAACTTGAAGAGATCTCCATCGAAGTCATCACTAAAAGAAAGGGCAAGGATGAAGAGGAATAATTACCTTTAAAAAACTTGAAGATGGACTTGGGAAGCTGTGATGAAAAACCCGAAGAGCGGCAAGAGAACTCGAAAGCAAAAGCCAGAAATCGGAAACCCTAGACATCAGGGGATCTCTGGTATTTATAGTGGAGGCACCCCCGGGGGGACGAATGAAGAAGCGACACGTGGCGAGGAGCGTACCCTGGCGGGAATCCAACCTGGGGAAGCGATACGCGTAATGATGACTTCCCATCGGGAGTCGCACCGTTTCGCCGCCAGCCGCCACCTCGATTCACCCGCGGTCGCCCAACTCGGGGTGCCCTTCGATCAGGTACGTCCAGTTCCCCGTAGGCAAGTACGGAAGACGGGCATCCTCCAGGAGGCACAGCATACTTCCTTATGTCCCACGCACGCTTGGAACATCAGAAGTGGGGGACTTGTGTTGGGTAAATGGCCCCGAGCAGGGGTCCGGCCCAATTACCCCCAAACCGACGTACGTCGCCCAGCCCACGGATGGCCCTGGCCTGAAGGAATGAGGACGAATGTCTATCTCCGGGATAACAGCACAAGGTCCCGGCCGAGGGTCGGTTAGCACATCCGTGACGAACGTCGTCAGCCGAGGCCCATCTCCGTAGATGGCCCAGGCCCCCGGTTCTACCAGACGATCGTGGTCATTAATTAGGCGGGGAACCCAGATTCTGTCGGGAAGCGCATTTAATGCTGGAGATTTGGTGGTTGGGCCACAGCCACTAACAATCCTCCACATCATCAGGACTAACTGCCCATTGGCGGGTATAAATAGTAGCATTTATTTCATTGTAAGGGGTTGGCAACTTTCTATTCTTAGCATACTAGCTCCAGCATTCTTACTAGCAGCATTTCTATTGCCTTGTAAGACGAACGGCCGACGTGCCCTCTTTAGCAAGTAGATTGTACTTAGGGGAGTTATTACGAAGATAATAATACCTATTTACATTGCCTGCTATTACTTTTGTTTTCCTGATCCATCTGATAGTTGTTGGGCTAGATATCCACACACTCACTCCACTCGAAATCTTTGGGCTTACGTGTTGGGTCCAAGGGTTGAAGGAATAAACTTCAACAATACCCAATAAAAATACAACGAGTAGAGCTAGGTGAGAGTTTATTGAAAGACTTGGCAATAAAGTTAGGAAAACAAGCACACTCAAAAATAAAAGGAAAATTAAAATCGACAGACTTATTAAAAAGTTTTTCAAAGGGAGTTAAATTATTCAAAAGTGGTGTGCGTAAAAGATTGACAATATAAGTGGTTCTATATAGAACATCTGCCCAAAAACTAGAAGGAATAAAAGATTCCATTAACATGGTCCTAGTTAATTCAAGAAGATGTCAATATTTACATTCAACCAACCACTTCATTTTGAGCAGAAGCATTTGCGCAAGATTTTCTAAATAAAATGCTACTACTACCTTCGCCCCTTAAAACTTTGTCATCTTTGACTTTTCAAGTCAATGGTGGTAAATTTTGGACCATGATTTTGATTAGTATAATGTTATGAAAGTGATAAGTTTTATACTTTTATTAAAGTACTTTTAACAAGGAACATTTTCATGTAATTTTTGTATTATAAATAATTTTCTATAAAAAATATATGATAGGTCAAAGTTTAACATGATTGACCGAAAAATTCAAAGATGACAAAGTTTTAAGGGATAAAGGGAGTAGCTTTTAAAAAATGATTATGAAAGAGCAGAATTATCAAATTCACCTTCATCGTCATTTTGAAAACATGTAATTTTTGATTCACAAGATTCTCAAGTTTTTGAAAATTACAAAGATGATCGTAAACCTCAGATGGAGTTGCTTCTCATGGGGTAAAATAAATAAAATACCCCAAACTTTGAAGGGGTGTGAGATAAACACCCCAAACTTGCATATGTAATTTAAATACCCCAAATTTTATATAAAAAGTTATTTTAGCACCATGTCAAGTACTATTTCTTTCAAAAATGTAAATTCATGGTGTTAATTGCATGATTGAAATTATTTTAGAATTCATGAAGACAAAATTATCATTCTAAACCTCCATTAGAAAATAAATAATGTTACCCCCAATCTATATAATTGCAACACTTTCAATTTTCTATTTTAAATTAGGCAACTAACCCCATAAATTTACATTTTTGAAAGAAATAATACATGACAATGGTGCAAAAATAACTTTCTATTTAAAGTTTAGGATATTTAAATTACATATGCAAGTTTGGGGTGTTTAACTCACACCCCTTCAAAGTTTGGGGTATTTTTATTAATTTTCCCTTAATTATTTGCGTATCCTACAGTAATGCGGGTACATTTATTACGGAATAAAGGCTTGTTTGAAACCCTAATTTTGTCGGGAAAGTAATCTAAACAAAAACAAAAAGAAATTCGTTGTCCCACACACTCTCACTTCCTCAAAACGCGGTTCCTGTTTTCCTGTGTTTCAAACATCCGACCGTCCAACACCACGCTCTGGGTCACGCGGACTCTTGGGAGCGTATCTATACAGTTCCGTACATCATCCGAAAAAGTCCGACTTTTTTTTGTCCCAAACAATTTCAAGAATTTGGCATTTATCACCTGTAAATTCAAATTTCTTCCCCTCCAAACGCTCTCTTTTTCTCTCAGAGCCTGGAACCTTTTTCCAACGATACCCAAACTGGGTTAAAAGACCCGACCCGGAGGAGTTAAAGCCCAACCCGGGTTGGTGAATCTTAGGGGCGTTGTTAGTTCCGGTACTATCATCATCGGCATTGTTGTTTGTTCCATGGCGGCGCCGAGGAGCGTGGCTATCGATGCGGGGCGTTTGGCTAGAGATGAGGAGAAGATTCTTGATTTTCCGGCGACCTCTGCTGCCGAATCGCCGACGGGTAAGCGGTTCAAGGAAGGCAAGATTCAGTTCACCAACTGGGAATTCGCGGCGGCTCTGGGGGTTTTCGCGGTGTCTTCCACTGGGTTGTTCTGCATCTACTTGACCATGCCTGCCGCCGGTTATGGGAAGCTCAAGCTGCCACGTACGGCTGCCGATCTCCGGATTCTCAAGTACTCTGATTTTACTCTGTTTTTACTCTGTTGATTTTATGCTTCACATGCTTGGTATGCTTATTTATTGTGGTTCTCTACTTTCATGTGCTCTTTTAAGTGCCCTTTTATTGTGTTTTCCAACAATTTGTTCTCACCCATAAGAAAATATAATGAAGTTTTTGTTGTAGGATTAATATATTTAGTAGTAGTAAATGATAGTAACGTCATTGTATTTGATTTTGGCAAGGAATTTCTTGAAAAACTAGATTTCCAACCTATAGAATGAAATATGGA